AATAAAAAAATTAAAACTGAAAAATATATTAAAAAATATTTTTTTCGGGGGAGGGGGGGGGGGCGGTAAAAAGAAAAAATAGAAATTTGAAATTGCAATAAAAAAAATAAGGTAAAAAAAATAATATTTTTTGCGGAGGGGGTGGGGTGGGGTGGGTGGNGATTTGTGTACCCAATGTTGATGGACTTCGGGAGTTATTTCTAGAGGAGGCCCACAGTTCGCGGTATTCCATCCATCCGGGTGCCGCGAAGATGTACTAGGATTTGAGGCAGCACTATTGGTGGAGGCGGATGAAGAAGGATATAGTTAGGTTTGTAGCTCGGTGCCTCAATTATCAGCAGGTAAAGTATGAGCACCAGAGACCGGGTGGTTTGCTTCAGCAGATAGAGATTCCAGAATGGAAGTGGGAGCGTATCACCATGGACTTCGTAGGTGTACTCCCACGGACTTTGAGGAAGTTCGATGCAGTATGGGTTATTGTTGATAGGCTGACTAAGTCAGCACGTTTCATTCCTGTAGCAGTTTCCTATTTTGATTTTTCTTTTTTAGCATACCACGTCAAAAAGCTAAGAACAGAAAGTTTACTTGAAAAAGAATAAAAATCACTTTTAAAATTTTGAAACTCATCTTTAACATTTTTTTTAAAATTCATCTTCACAAATTAAATGAAATAAATAACCAAACAATAGTTTGAAGATGAGTTTCCGAAAAAATAAGTATGGACAAACGAGTCGTTAGTCCTCTCTCGTGTAGACGAGGACGCAATTTCCTATATGTAGAAAAATTTGTTTGTGTTTGTCTTTGATTATCGTTTGCTTAATGAGAAAAAATTTAGCGAAAATAGCCTCGAAAAGAGCAAATAAAGAGGGAACACTGCTTTAAAGTAAAACAGTGGATTTTATATCTAACAAAATCTCCTCAAATTAGCATTATATTCTAATGATCATAATCATGGATAGTGCATGTNGTGGGGTAGAGGGGTAGTAGGGTAGGTGGTAACGTAAAAACTGAAATTTGAAAAAAAAAACCTTTTTGGAGTGAGGGGGTGGGGTGGGTTGGTGAGGTTAGGGAAGGTTGAGAAAGAGTTTTGGAAAATGTTTTCCTTTCTCTTGATAAGGAAAACATTTTCCTCCAATTCGAGGAAAATGAGTTCATAAGGAAAATGCTTTCCAAAATATTTAAGCCAACCAAACATGGGAAAGTTGGAAAATATTTTCCGGAAAATGTTTTCCTTCGTACCAAACACACCCGTAGTCCTAAACTTAGACTTACAAGTTCATAAATTAAGGACAGCTAGTCCTGAACTTACAGTAACAAGCGCATAAGTTAAGGACACTTAGTCCTGAACTTTATAAGTAGAAGGGTATTTTCGTCCGGGGGGTAAAAGTTTATTAAAGCAGTGACTAAAGACTAAAGACATTTTAAACAGTGGCTTAAAAGTAAATACATGTCTTATTATTGGCTAACTGTGCACTTCCCCCTCGTACTTATCATACTATACATATTCGTACTTTTATATTTTTGGGCTTTCTTCACTAGCCCGCGCCAGATTTAATCTTTATTTTTTCTAGCCGAAAAAGTGTATAAAATTTATATAATTTTTTTATATAACATACAGAATATCTATATATACAAAAAAATGTATATATAGATATTCCGGCTCGAGACGCATTCGTTGACAAAACCGTCATAGGTTTGACTTTTCAACTGAGCGGAGGCGAATTAATCAACTCTCTTTAGACTCTAGAATATTGAATTCTTTTTTTTTTAGCAAACCAATTTCGAAAAATTGGTTTAATTAGTCTAGAGATATCAAAAGAAAACAGATGGGGCGTTTATTCTGTCAGGAATAAAGGCGGGAAAGTGCATTTGCTTAAAAGAATTTCCATTATAAAATTTATTAACGTTATGTCTCCAATAACAGAAAGTCGCTTACTTTTTGGATACAATCACATATAGCACATGAATCTTATTGAGATAAAAGATAAATTATCTTAGCTTTTGTATAGTTTCTATAACTTTAAAATCATTTTAAACGGCGTGCTTAGCAATTACAACCACTTGAAACTTTCTTATCTGCCACTTTGAAAAAGTAAAGTATTTCAAAATTCGTACTATATTGATTTGAATAATATAATATGAATACACCTTTTGAAGTTCCACTCTATTTCAAATAATTAGTAAAGGTAGAGATATTTTTTTACCTAACTAAAATTATTAGAATTTAGCCAACTTTAAAATTAAACTGATAAAGTAATTATTCTGTAGTGTAAAAATAAAATTTGAATAAAAATACTCTAACCAAAAATATGGAATCACTCCAACAATCGAAGCTAGACCTCGAATTTTTATATGTAAAACTCAATCATACTATACTAGAATTCACAAATTTCTTTACAAGTGAAATTAAATGTTGCGTGTTGTATTTCGAAACTGTTACATGTACCATATTAGGTTCCAATATGGGAATACAACATGCTACTAACATCTACATGGAAACACCAGCTCTCTTCCATGGGGTAAAGCTTGCTTGGAAAAAAACTTACTGCCATTAACTATCGAAACTGACTGTCAAGAACTAATCAATTTATTATCTAACAATAATTGTCTCTACAAAAATGTGATTGATGATTGCAAGTTCCTATTATATGATGCGGGTAATCCAACACTAAAGAACGTGTAAAGAGAAGTTAATGGAGTGGCGGCTAGTTAGCGAAAAATACATTTAGCTTGGACGTTTTCGGAAATCTTTTATTGTACCCCGACTCCCCCACCCCTATCTTTCCTGCTTTTTTTAGAGATAGTATGGGCACTATGTTGCCCAAACTAATCTCATTATGTAATAAACCTTAATGTAGTTTTTATTTTGAATAAAAGTCTTTTATTACCAAAAAAAAATATGCTAAATATCCTTCAATATTTTGTTGATGTCACAGTGTATGATGATTTACCTTTAACATCTTAATATCAAGTTTGAGTAAGCATTAGAAAAAAATTATCGACTTTTGAGTATTTGTCCTTTGAATTTTTATGCAATAGTGGGGTTGGGAGTTTCAATCAGATGGTATCAGAACCACTCTTGTGTCAACCTTGTCGATGGTGGGTGAGAGTTCAACTGACTTTAGGCAAATCTCGGTTAGGCGGGACAAACCTCAGAGCTGAGTCTAGGCGAATCCCATGCGGCGGGGCAAACCTCAGTTAGGGCGCTGAGTCCATAAGAAGGGGTATATGTAACACCGCAGACTTTGACAGAGTTTCACATCGGCAAAACACAAGAGGGATACTAAGTATATCAGTTAACATATTTTAGACCCTAGTGACGCGTTGTAAACCCGTGAAAACCTAGGCCCAAAGCAGACAATATCACTAACGGACTGAGTTGTTACATGCAATCTATGTAGCTCTAGTCTACGCAATATGGAGAGTCAGGAAAGAAGCGGTATGGAATGATCGGGTCACAAGAGCTCAAGTAATTTGCAAGCAAATCAAAGAGAATGTAGATGCAAAACCCTTAGCTTAGAAAATAGAAGCAAAAGACAGATGGGATGGATTCAAAACTTATACAGATAGGTAGAAATAGATAGATGAACTGATTACTATTCATTAGAACTTATCAGTTACAGTTAGTATATGACTTTTGTAATTGGGACTAGGGGCGTACGTAAGTGGGGTTGGTTCGAATTTTTCAATTACCAAATCAAACCAATAGAATCGGGTTTTTAAATCAATAAACCAAAAAGCAAACCAACAAAGTCGGATTTTTCAATCTCGACTTTTCTCGAGATTTTCGGGTTTTTTCGGGTTCTCTTGTTTTTTTTCCTAGTAAGTCTTCATAGCACAAAATATATAACTTGTGCTCTTAATATTTTTTTAGTCCTAGTAGAATAAAACTATATAATGTATTTTTCAAGAAAATAACACAATAATATGAGATGATCATAGCATTGTACTAAAATATTCAATAACAAAGTTAAAAGAATCTTTAAATAAAATATTTAAGCCAAAATAAAAATTAACATAATCTAAAAGTACTCATAAGTAATGCTAAAATAAGTTAACTAATAAGTACTTTTAATTGCACAACTAAGCACTAAAGAAAAAGATAAACGAAGTTATGCATTTTCATTATAAACCAATGCAAAACTAAAAAATAGATATCCAAAACTATGTCATTTCTAGTGTTGGATTGAATTTTCTTTGTTAGCATAGTATATATTTGAAGTTTATTTGAATTACTACCTTTATGGGCTATAAAATTTATTGGGCCATTCAAGAATGTTAGGTCCAAACTTAAAATAATATGTTTATAGATAAAACTGTGAAAAAGTTTAAGAAATATTTATAAATTATATTACAATAAATATTTATATGTATAAAATATTTTTAAAAATTGTATAAAAGTAATGTCAGGTTGGTTTGATTTCAGTTTGACTTTTTTTAGCTAATACCAAACCAAACCAATTATAGCCGGAGCTTTTTTCCAGCACTGAACCAAATAAAACCAACCCATGATCGGGTTTTTTTCCGATTTGATTCAGATTATCAGGTTGGTGCGGTTTATCGGTTTTCTTTGAACACCCCTAGTTGGGACTGTTTTAGTAGGTGATTAATAAGATTTCTTCTTTTCACCCGAAAAATAAAAATGCAACTCCTTAGTTATTTGGTCAAGCAATCTGTTGCTTATGTTTTCGGTCAATTACTGGTTTGAAGCCTTTTCCTTTTGTCCTTTTTCTTTTTCGAAAATTTGCCATAGATGACACTGACACGGCTGGAGAAAAAAAAAAAAAGGAAAAGTAGAAGCCACTGTCGCAAGTATGCAAAAACCAATGCAGAGCACTGGTTGATCACAAACGCGGTGTTACAGATTTTACCTGCCTCAGTTCGTTGAGCCACTTAAAAAGTAGAAAGCCAACTCTCTCGCAATGAAAGACGAGAATTCAGAGGATAATCAGAGCAATTAGGCAAGAGAACGTATTATTAATTAAAAAGAAATGGTGAAAATGCGCCAGAATTAGTGGCCTTTTGTACAGTCCCCATGCCATGCACGTTTATCCTTCAAAGCTTTGTTATTTCCGCTGCTCTTTTCCTCAAAGCTGCTTCCATGTGTTTGTGCGTGTCTCAGTGTCTGTGTGTGTGTGAGAGAGAGAGAGGCAGTTTGAAAACCTCTTTGGGATGACAAGCAACATGCAATATGTGACATTCTCTGTTGGCATATAGGAAGAGCTGAGACAGAGATTGTGGCCATTCTTGTTTTCTCCATTCTTATACATTTCTTGAGAGAGAGAGAGAGAGAGATGGCAAAGGGGGGGAGCATGAAGGGGCACATGCAGAGTCAGAACAATGGGAGCAGAGGAAGAACATATGCAGTGCTGGTGCTTCTGGCATTTGGGGCTGCTATTTTTGGAGTTATGATTCTCCACAAGCTCAGGGAAAGGCGCATCTTCAACCTCCTTGTCAAGGATAAAGAAAGTGAACTCATCAACCTTAAACTCCTATTGCAGGTACTTCTACCTACCCCCCCCCCCCCCCC